TCAAACAGAGGTTTGATTGCAGTTATCTGGGTAATTCCATGATATATTGAAACTAAGTGATTTGTGATCACTTTCCTCAAGCTCATCATTAACCTCAAGATTATTAATTAGTGACTCTGTTGGCAAGAACCAAGTCAAGCAGATTGTTTCCTCTAGTTGGTTCTGTCACAACCTGTTCTAAAAAGCAATCCTGAACCGTATCAAGAAAGTCACTAGACTCAAGATTTCCTGTCATATTGTTCCAATCAATTTGTCTGAAGTTAAAATTTCCCATTATCACAACATTTTCATATCTAGATGCCTTATGAATTTCGTCCCATAACAGCTTACTGCACTCCCTATCGAGGTTTGGGGGCCTATAAATCACACCTAAAATTATTTTGCCACGACCCTCGAGAAATTGTAGCCAAACAGATTCTGTGTTCGATGTTTCTAATCTTATATCATGTCTAAGACAACAATTTAAATTTTCTCTGACATACACTGCCACTCCACCACCTTCCTGTTGACCCTATCAATGTGGAATAGTTTATAACCCTGTATGTTGCATTCAGAAGGCATTTCTCTGTCTTTCAGGTTGAACCAGGTCTCTGTTATACCAATAATATCTATATTACCTACACTTGCAAGTAATCTTAGCTCATCTATCTTATTTCTTAGACTCCTACTTTTTGTACAGTAAACCTTAAGGGAGCTAGTCACTCGTTGCCCTCTACTATCTTTTTTTTGTTTGTTGATCAATTGATTTGCCATTACTAGCAACTTTATTTTGAATATTGTCTTTTAACCCTTTGACTGTTTACGCCGTATAAATACGTCTTACGCGCCACTGTTTCTGACATATTTATACGCACAAATTCTAGCGGCTTCAAATCAAGCGGGAAAGGCCTGGTAGGCCTACATGAGAGAGAATGGGTCTCAGTGGTCGGTGTGCACCCTGTGAAAAAAATCTGGGATCCAGCGGTGCATTGTGGGAACGCCATCTTGGTAGTCCATTTTCACCATGCCTCTTGGTAAGAAGTTCCTCACTCCTCGGCGGATTGGAGGTCTTTTGTTCCCAAGTGATAGCTCTAACAGCGATGAAAATGTCAGTGACAGTGAATTCCAGGATTTTGAAGTGAGTGTGGCTGGAAAAAGTGCCCAGGATAACGTAATTAGTGATGAAAACCCAGATGACCCACAACCTTCCACCTCTGGTGCTGGGCCGGCTTGTTCACGTTCACGTTCGCCTGTACCAGGACGAAAGAGGAAACTATTTGGTCGTGTACAACACCCAGATGTTAGCAGTGAATGTGATAGTGATAGTGATTTCAAGGTCATTGAAAGCAGTTCTAGTGACAGTGAGGGTGAATATTCCCCAGTGAAGCAGCAGTATGTACGACGTAGCATGCGGTCTGGTAGTGTTTCATATGCTGTTCCAAGGGGAAGGAGAAACTCTGGGAGCACATCCCGTGGCCCTACACCACGACCTGATAGTGAAGATGACGATATTGTTACGATGGGTATGAATGATGTGAGTGAGGGAGCAGGCAGTGGTGGTGATAGTGATGGTGGCATGGCCCATGTGGCACCAGCAGCGGGCCACGCTACTACCCACGCTGCTGACTCTGCACAACACCCAGCCTCACCCGACCCCACACTCCCACAACCTGCACAACCACAGCCACGGTACAATATCCAGAACCCACCAGCAGACCGCATCTGGGATTGGCAGGACGGTGACGAGCTTGTTCCCAGTCCTCATGACTTTGATGAAACACTAAGTGGAATAAAGCCATCATGTCCACTTGGGAACAATGCTATTGAACTGGAATGCTTTGAGTTATTCTTCGATGAACCCTGATGGACATCATTGTCAGGGAAACCAACACATACTATGATTACACCATGGCAAATACAATTCTCTCACCAAAATCACGGCTATACCAGTGGAAGGAGACAACTGTGGCAGAGATGTACCTGTTTTTTCCCACAATAATGCTTATGTCACATGTGTATAAGCACACTGTCACCACATACTGGGCAACAGAACGCCTGATTTCAACTCCAGGTTTTAGTGACATTATAGGTGTCAATCGTTTCCTGATACTGTTACATATGTTACACTTTTCAGACAAAACCAGGCCTGACAGAACCAACAGGTTATGTAAGATCAGAAATGTGTTTATGTACATGAAACAAAAGTGCTGCATGTATTTTTATCCCTTCAGGAAGCTTGTTATTGATGAGTCCTTGATTTTATTCAAAGGAAGACTCTCATTCAAGCAATATATTCCAAACAAGAGGAAACGCTTTGGTATAAAGCTATTTGTACTGTGTGATTGCAGAAGTGGTCTAGTTTTGGATATCATTGTGTACACTGGCAGTAATACTTTGAGAGATACCATGAAGTTATTGGGTATCTCTGGTGATGTGGTTAGAACAATGATTGAACCATATCTTGGTAAGGGGCATATGTTATTTACTGATAACTGGTACACAAGCCCCTTACTCAGTGATTTCTTGCGAGTGAACTTGACAGACGTGTGTGGCACAGTGCGTGGTAATCGTAAACATATGCCAAGGTTCGATGCTGGCACTCGCAGAGGTGAGGTGCAAGCCTTTGCTGCCAATGACATCATGGCATTTCAGTGGCATGACAAACGTGATCTCACATTGTTGACATCAGTTCACCCAAACGAAATGGCACACAGTGGCAGGCACAACAGAGAGACCAATGAACCCATTCTAAAACCTGCAGCTGTCATGGACTACAACCTCAATATGCACTTAGTGGACAAATGTGACATGCAGATTGGGTTTGCAGATTGTGTATGCAAGAGTTATAAGTGGTATATAAAACTTTTTTTCCATCTTGTTGATATCTCTATGCTAAATGCTTATAATGTATACAAGTTGAAGACCAACAAAACACCAAAATATGGTGAATTTTGTTTGTCAGTAATCAGACAAATAATCGCAAAGTACCAAGGAGCAACACCTGCAATAGACCAGCGCCCACGAAATTACCAACACACGCCATCTCGTTTCAGGCCTGGTGATCACTACCCCATACTACTACTACTACCCCTACTACTGCCAAGAAAAATGCTCAGAAGAGGTGTTATGTATGTACACATACCACAAAATGCCCACAAACACGCAGAGACACTCGTTTTATGTGTGAGGAGTGTCAAGTGCCACTCTGCATATACCCATGTTTCAAAGAGTTCCACAAGCTGCAGCAGTTCTAGGAACGTGTTCAGTGACTGTACATATGTATATATATATTATGGAACAATAGTAATAAACATTGTTTTGTATTGTTTGTTTGTGTAAACAAAGTGTATACACAAATTAATAGTGATAAAGTTTGTTCTGTTATTGTGTTGTAAACAGTGAGTGTATATTTGAACAGTGCACCTTACATTGGTCTCACAGGCCACATAAATTACTTGGAAAAGAAAAATATTGAAAAATGCAAGAAACTTTTGAATTAGAGTAAATAAAAGAATACCGGGTGGGTGGCAGTCTCCACTGTTGCTGTACGCACGTCACTTTCTGCAAACTTTGCGGCTCTATATCTCGGTAAGTACTGATGGCAAAAAAAATTTTTTAGGCTTAAAACACTCAGAAAAATATTCCTAACATTTTCTTAAGAAAAAATAATTTTTTTTTTTTTTTGAATATTTTGCGACATAGAATGACAGTTTCAGAAAGGGGCCTGCGACAGTCAAAGGGTTAAACATATCCCTGAGGTATCCCGGTAATAACTACTGTTTTTAACCCTAATACTGCAGCCTGACTGTTTCCCACAAACACCCATACCTCTATAATCTATCAGTTTAAATTCCTAGACAAGTCATCAATTACCCTCTCAATCAAATTGGCTAATGCAACCACTCCATCCCCAGAGAGATGAACCCCATCCCTTGCATACATATCACGTTTGCCAAACAATAGGTCCCAGTTATCAGTGAATGGGATTGCAAGTTCCTTGCAGTACTTGTCTAGCCAGCAATTTATACCGATTGCCCTAGACATCCATTCATTGCCCACTCCCTTTCTAGGCAAGATGCTACATATAACTGGGATCCCTCCCTTAGAACTAACTACTTCTATGGCTGACCTGTACTTATCCAACGGCTCCTGTCTCCTGCCCTTCCCAGTGTCATTACCCCCAACACTAAGACAGATAATGGGCTTGTTCCCATTACCTGACATAATATTATCCAACCTGCTGACTATGTCACCAACACCAGCTCCAGGAAGGCACACCCTCTGTCTGACCTTTCTGCCTCTGTTACAAAAAGCACAGTCCATATATCTTACCTGAGAATCTCCTACTATTAAAATATTCTTACCTTGATTAGCAGGGGAATCAGTGGTACCTTCAACCTCACTACCATTGAAGTGCACTCGTCCTGGAGAACAGAGAATCAATTTCCTACCTTCACATCTTCTCTGTTAACCCTCCTTATCTTCCTTCCTCTTGAACTGTGAATCACTTGCCACTTAAAGCAGCTGCCACTATCACTGCTAGTGACCATTTCCTCCTTACCAGCTAAATCCTTCTCACACTCACTCCCAAACTCATGTATGCGAAGCTTCAGCCTCCTATTTTCCTCCTGAAGAAGTAGAACCTCCTTCTTCAACACCTGAACCTGAGATTCTGAAACACTACAGCAAGCCATGGTGCTTGGTAACGCCCCACACTAACTCCCAGAGAGCTTAGGACAGGTATGATCGCAGGTGACCACTGACCTCAGCGTAATTAGTCATACTTTTGTAACTGTACTGTTTGTTCATTACCTTCCTTTCTTATTGTACATATGATTGTAGTTAACTGCATAAGATCTCATATTTCATAGTCTGTGTGTAGATCTTAAGTTTACCTGAAAGGCATTGAATAATTAGTGACTTTGTGCCTACCTATATTTTATTAAATATAAATTTCATTATTTGTACTGTATAAAGAAATAAAAATTGTATGTGTTGTTAAAGCATGTTTTTCTTAACAGGATACTTGACTGGTAAAGCTGGAGTGTGCCTGGTGGTGTCAGGTCCTGGGCTACTCCACACTATTGGTGGATTAGCCAATGCTCAGAGTAACTGTTGGCCAGTACTGGTAATTGGAGGTTCCAGTGACCAAGATCAAGAAGGTATGGGAGCCTTCCAGGAATGTCCACAGGTTTGTCACTCTTATTATTAACTTCTCTTCAAATTAATATACTTTACCCATTAACTGTCCAAATGTAGATCTACGTTCTAACCGCTAGCGCTCTAAATGTAGATCGACATTTTATTTTTCCTGCCTCTAAATTTGGGACAGTTGGCCTGAGATGCCTGGTCATTATAGAATGGGTCTTAACACTCGGTATGCGCAGTATTAAAAAATCTGGGACCATTTAGTACCTTGTGGGAGCACCAGTTCAATTGAGCACCAGCTAGAGCAAACAGTGTGGCAAACACCAGGGATTCACTGATGTTATGTCTTATTAACACTTCCCTTCTTAGAGGAAAGTGATGTTGACCTTGAGTTTAGTGGATCTGAGATGGATGTGGCCACAAGTGATCAAGGAAATATAAAAAACCTCGATAATAACCAATATGCAACATCCTTTCAGTTTTCATACCACTGGTAGTGTCATCCTGCCAGAATGTCCTATAACCTATGCCCTAATTAAAGAGAGATGATGGATGGCCGACTGGCTGGCTGGCTGGCCGGCTGACCTAGGCTGTGTCTCTGTCTCTATATCTCTCTGTCTCTTTCTCACATGTACACATAAGTACAGTTATCATATATAGTGTAAATTACCTAGGATAACCCAAAAAATCCAGACAAAGTGCTATACTGTGCTTGTAGATATAAGACATAACAAGCATGACTGGCAAGTAATACGCATTTTCACTTGTTCAGGAATCAAATGTGACCACTCTGCATCGTGTGTAATACCTGTTGGTTCATGAGCCGCTCTCTGAGACAGAGAGACAGACAGACACACACACACAGGCAGATAGAAAGACAGATAAGCAGACAAAGCTAGACAGACATGTTTATTGTATACTCAGACACCAGCCACCTTACCCATGTTGGTGGCATAACCCACTATAAAACGCTATTCACAATGCATGCAACAAGCAGCAATAGCACAGTACAACTTGCAGGATACACCCACAGGAGCAAAACTGACAGGCAGGCTGAATGATACCAAGACCGGCTCTAGGTCTTGCTCCATCTCCAGCTCCCAGACAGAGTTCCCATATTATGAACACAGGTATAGTATGGCCTGCGACCTGGTTGTAATTGGTTTCAAAGTGGAGCAAACTCAGCAATAGTATATAACTTTTATTTCCTTCACCAGATACAATTTGCCAGATACAGTGGACCCCCGCATAACGATTACCTCCGAATGTGACCAATTATGTAAGTGTATTTATGTAAGTGCGTTTGTACGTGTATGTTTGGGGGTCTGAAATGGACTAATCTACTTCACAATATTTCTTATGGGAACAAATTCGGTCAGTACTGGCACCTGAACATACTTCTGGAGTGAAAAAACATCGTTAACCGGGGGTCCACTGTATTTGCAAGTGCGTACACTTACGTACACTATGTACAGAGGTTGAATAGTAAGTGTACCACACAGTGACAAAAGATGGCAAAAGCAGAAGTCAGAGAGATTGTACCATATCAAGCAACAGCTCAGGCAAGTCTGCCAATGCTCACCACAAGTGAATCACATTGCTTCAGCTTAACTGGCTTGCCTGTGATTGATTAATGAACCAAGGTACTGATTTAACAATGGGTACCCTATTGATCGTTAACCCTTTGATTGTTTCAGTCGTATATATACGTCTCATGAGCCACTATGTTTAACATATTAATACGCCAAAATTCTAGTGGCTTCATATCAAGCAGGAGAAAGCTGGTAGGTCCACATGTGAGAAAATGGGTCTCCATGGTAAGTGTGCACCATATAAAAAAAAATCGGGGCGCCAATGGTGCATTGTGGAAATGCCATTTCAGTAGTCCTTTTTCAGCATGCCTAGTGGTAAGAAATATGTGACTCCCCGGTGAATCTGGGACTCTTCTCTTCCCAAGTGATGTTCTAACACAGATGGAAGTGTCAGTGAAGATCATTTTCGTGGTTTTGAGGAGTTTGTGACCGAAGGCAGTGCCCAGGATACCAGAAGAAAGAAAGAAAGAAAGGAAGGAGAAGGAAGGAAGGAGAAAGAAGGAAGGAAGGAGAAAGAAGGAAGGAAGAAGAAGGACAGAAGGAGAATGAAGGAGAAGGAAGGAAGGAAGGAGAAGGAATAAAGAGGAAAAAAAGTAGACAGAAAGATAATTACTAGGAGGATGGAGGGGAAGCGAGCATCAGACCCCATTGTTTTGACAGGCGGTAGTGGGAGTGAGTAATGAGACAATGTGTCATTTTGACAGCTGCCGATGCTGACTCAGCACATTTAGAAGCCCACACACACTTACACACACAACACAGTGAAAGTGTCCAGTGACTCTATATATTTGTATATATATTATCGAAACCAGAAGGAAGGAAGGAAGGAAAGAATGAAGAAAGAATGAAAGGTAGGTATTAATGGTGACACAGGAACATTTACCTAGGATAACTACCTAACACAACTGCCTGCTACTACTTTGAAGAAAACTGCTCAGACGAGGTGTTTTGTCTGTGCACATACAAAAAAAACGCCACAAAAATGCAGAGACATAAGTTTTATGTGTGAGGAGTGCAAAGCACCATTGTGTATGAAACCATGTTTCAAAGAGTTCCACAAGCTGCAGAACTTCTAGGTACATGTCCAGTGACTGTACATTTGTATATATATTATAGAACGAAAATAAAAGAATTTTTGTATTTATGTAAACAAGTTTTGTAAACAATATATTGATAATTATGTTTGTGCGCTTATTGTGTTGTATACAATGAGTGTACAGTAGGGCTCCACTTATATGGCGGGTTAGGTTCCAGGCTGTCGCCGGAAAGCAGACATCGCCGGAAGGCAGAACGCCATTTTTTCCATTTATAAATGCATATAAATGCCAGACAACAAGTTTACACTAAATTATATTAAGTTAGTAATAGAACTAGCCATTAAAAACACACAAAGTAAAATACATTCACAGTAAATTCATTACTTATCTTAAAGTATTTGTAATCTTAATGTAGAGAGAGAGGTGAGTAGTACTTATTTGTAGGAAGTCAGGTGCAGGTAGCCCAGGTGTAGGTAGCCCTGGCTCCCCATCTCATACTTAATGTACGATATTTAAAACATCCCAGAGAGGTAAAATACACATACAGTACACTCATTATATACCTTAAAATATGTGTAGTCTTAATATAGGAAGAGAGGTGAGTAGTATTTATTTGTAGGAAGTCAGTGTAGGTACCCGGTAGGTGTAGCCCGCCTGGGCTACACCTACCGGCTACCTACACTGTGACCCAGAGCCAGACATTTAGTGTGCCCAAGAGTGATTATTATTACGTACTATTGGCGTCATGAGTAGAGAGAGACTTAGCGATTTTAATGTGTACCTGCACACCAGCACAGTGTGTACGTATATTTAGGTACAGGTACACATAAGTATAATTATCAGAGTACATATAAAATATGCAGTAACTTTAAAACACTTGAAATTTTGGAAAGTTTCTTGACATAATAGATGAGGTCATGGAAAACGTAAACAAACCGGGTGGGGGCGCCGTATTTAAAAGATCGCTTGCCGTATAGCAAATTTTGGTCGTAATTTGACATCGCCATATTAGGGGAACGCCGTAAGGTGAAACACCGTAAAGCGGTGCCTTACTGTATATATGTACATTGTACCTTACTTTGGTCTCACAGGCCACATAGGATATGTGAAAAAATTAGTGAATAAAACAAGAAACCTTCCAATGCATGTAAACCAAAGTTTACCAGGTGAGTGGCATTCGCCGCTGTTGCCATACGCGGCTCATTTTCTGCCAAGTATACTCCTCTATATCTCGGTAAATACTGATCACAAAAAAATTTTGGGGTGCTTAAAACAATCAGAAAATTGACCTTAACATTTTCATAAGAAAAAATATTTTTTTTTTTTAATACTCTTCGACACCAGGAGACACTTCAGGATTCGGGGTTGTGACAGTCAAAGGGTTAAACCTTTAGCACCTGGTTCACTAGTTGGGAGGCAGCCTGTATGGGAGTGTGACATACGCTGAATAAAATGTAACATATAGCAGAGTATGGAGGAGGTGAACGTATTCAGATATTTGGGAGTGGACGTGTCAGCGGATGGGTCTATGAAAGATGAGGTGAATCATAGAATTGATGAGGGAAAAAGAGTGAGTGGTGCACTTAGGAGTCTGTGGAGACAAAGAACTTTGTCCTTGGAGGCAAAGAGGGGAATGTATGAGAGTATAGTTTTACCAACGCTCTTATATGGGTGTGAAGCGTGGGTGATGAATGTTGCAGCGAGGAGAAGGCTGGAGGCAGTGGAGATGTCATGTCTGAGGGCAATGTGTGGTGTGAATATAATGCAGAGAATTCGTATTTTTGGAAGTTAGGAGGAGGTGCGGGATTACCAAAACTGTTGTCCAGGGGGCTGAGGAAGGGTTGTTGAGGTGGTTCGGACATGTAGAGAGAATGGAGCGAAACAGAATGACTTCAAGAGTGTATCAGTCTGTAGTGGAAGGAAGGCGGGGGTAGGGGTCGGCCTAGGAAGGGTTGGAGGGAGGGGGTAAAGGAGGTTTTGTGTGCGAGGGGCTTGGACTTCCAGCAGGCATGCGTGAGCGTGTATGATAGGAGTGAATGGAGACAAATGGTTTTTAATACTTGACGTGCTGTTGGAGTGTGAGCAAAGTAACATTTATGAAGGGATTCAGGGAAACCGGCAGGCCGGACTTGAGTCCTGGAGATGGGAAGTACAGTGCCTGCACTCTGAAGGAGGGGTGTTAATGTTGCAGTTTAAAAACTGTAGAGTAAAGCACCCTTCTGGCAAGACAGTGATGGAGTGAATGATGGTGAAAGTTTTTCTTTTTCGGGCCACCCTGCCTTGGTGGGAATCGGCCGGTGTGATAATAATAAAATAAATAAAAAATATAGCATGCCACATATTTATTGACAGTGAGCAAAATTGGGGTATTCCTGAATGGTTTGTAATATACCACTGTGGATAAAATACTTTGA